TAGGTAGCAGACCCTTAGCAATCAAGTTTGACCTCTCAGCAGGTAAGCATGCAGACGCCACAGATCCGGGCGCGAATGAATTATTTCTCCTCCCACCTGAGGGAAGAGAGATCCCTGCGGAGACTAAGTTGCCAAGGACTCACTGCTAGCAGGCTGATTATCTTTGAATACCAAGACCCTGTGGGCCACCAAGGGGCCACTACAATCAGTCAGAGAGACTGCCGACGCACTCTCTCTAAAATTCGAGGTATCATTTCCACTGGGGGAAATGCATACAGGAGCATGACTGGCCATTGGTGCGCTAGCGCATCCATGCCCAAGGTTGCATTGTGAACGATTATTGAGAAGAACAGGGTGCAGTGAATATTTACCCTGGAGGCAAAAAAAGATCTACCTGTGCATTGCCAAACAGATCCCAAATCTGAGCCACTATCAAAGGGTGCAACCTCCATTCCTTCACCAGAGTACCCCCCTTGGGGGAAATGAACATTGCACCATAACAGCAGAGAGCGAGACAGCTTAAATAGGGGAAGGGAGGGTGTCCCTCCCTGACTGTTTATGTAAGAGACTATTGTTGAGTTGTCCTTCCTGTATAAGACATGCTGGCCCTCCAGGACTGGACGGAAATGTTTGAGAGCTAAGAACACTGCTAACAGCTCTAAGTGGTTGATGTGAAGCTCACGCAGGGCTGCGGACCAGATCCCTCTCACTGATGCACCCTCGCACAGTGCTCCCCACCCCCTTAGGGAAGCATCTGTGGACACCACCTTGCGAAACAACACCCTCCCATCTGAGAGCCCTGATGCAGTAGCCTGGGCTCCCTCCAGGGATAGAGAACTAGCATGCACGATGCGGTTACCATCAGCCTCCTCCAGAGGTGACGCGATGCACACAAGTGGTGAGAGAGAGTCCAGCATTGAAACACTCTCATCTTTACCAGTCCAAGTGGCACTGCAGTGATCATAGATGCCATCGTGCCCAACAAATGTAATATCGTCTGGAAACGCAGTCTCTGTCCCAGATGAAACTGAGCGAAGCAGTGATGAAACGCAACCACGCAGCCAGGTGCAAGCGTGTCACCGAGGCAACTGAGCACCCAGCTGGCTGACCTGCAGCGCCAATGGCGGGGCGTTGTGTGTCTGTGTCTTTAGCACTGATGCACTGATGCTCTAACATCTATGAACAATTTTAAGTGCAACATCTTCATGAGTTTTTATGTCACCCA